ACTCACAGAGTGCACTCCGTTAGCATTCAAAAGGATCTACAAAAGCCTTCGAGTTCACAACATTACGGATAGTCCATTTGATGTAGCTTACGTTAGTAGTTGAATCAGAATTAGCAAATTGAGTTTGTCAGTGCCGCACCATATGATAAGCCTCGATCTTCGGATCATCTGGGAAAGCTTGTGTAAACTATTTTAAACACATGGCTACTTATGAAATCCGCCTTGACGTTGTCGATGTGAGCATTCTAAGTAATGTGCAGGTTGCTGTCGCTTTGAATGAAATGCGTTTTGAGTAGAATGTGGCTTTATGACGACATGACCCAAGATAATGCAACAGGTGCACCTTTCCTGCCGCTTATTCTCCAATTGAGTCTCAGGATGTGATTCCACAGATTAATACCAAAATACTACATAGAAGAATTAAACAATACACCCAACATTGAACCTGACGTAGACAACTCTCCTCGCAAAAATCCGAAGAAATAATTCAAATCGAGCAAGATTGAAACAGTTCCATACTGGGGAAGTAGAGGCAGAGACTGCTAATGTTCAACACACGACAGAATCAGAATGTGATATGCGGCTGTTTCTGTAAGCTTCAACGTGTTATGATGTATTTCTAGCCAAAACATTTATTTTTCTGACGCTCTAATTCGTTGTGCTTTGAGGAAAGGCTTACAGGATCCACTGAATCAGCTATAGCCAGTACATATCCTTGTTTATGCGAAGTGTCTGTGGTTCCAAGTCGTAAAATTTGTATGGGGAATGGAAAATATGCTACAGGCGCTGCATATACGTGATCTTGCACCTCCAGTCATTCATTTCTCGATTTTCTTCAGAAAGCTCAAGTACATTTGCCATCCATGATCACGGAACGCAGCATTTCACGTCGTCTTTACTTCCTTTTGCTCTCATGCGTTGCTGTCTCGATCTACAGTGAGGTAGCTCAATTGAAAGCCATGATGATGAGCAATGAGCAGACGATTGCCCAGCGACACGATCGAGCGTTAAC